AGCATTGTAAGAAGCAGTGCAGTAAGAACATTGTAACAGCAAGAAATAAGAAGAGTAAATTGCATCTCTGTGTATACTTCAGAGCTTCTGTAATTTTTTTAATGTATAGATTTCTTTGCTGCCACATTTCCTTTGGGTTTATCTATCTGTGGTATTACTAAAGAAAAAAGGCAGTCTGTGTTTCAAAAAGTGGTTACTAATATACGCACCCTGTAGTCCACCATAGCTTCAAAGAGCCAATTACTGTTACACTGTTGCATAAACACATACTTAGGAAGCATGAAAATGTGTAATTATTTACTGAATCCAGTACCTAATGCATCATATCTAAGCTCTGAAATGGGAATTACTGACATGATGAAATATAACAGCTCTGAATGAATTGCTGTGGTACAAGATGGGCCCTGCAGAGCTGTACTCGTTAAACCCACTTATTAAAAATTCTTACTTAGTTTTTTGAAAATCCAAAATCGCTCAGTCACTTTAAAAAGCCCACCATCACCAAATATCTCATCTGTAACTTCTTGGAATATGCTATGGCTCAAAAGAGCTTTGTAATTATTATATCTGAGGACAATGAAAATATTCAGTTTTGTCTTAAAGGAATGACACAGAACTTACTGCAGGTGGGTGGCAACACATTGCTGAAGACTGGACAGTAGCACACCCTAAAAAGAACAACCTGGGTTATTTTTACACACTGAATGTATTAATTAAGCATAGCCCCTTCAGGAAAGAGGCCTAAGTCTTGCTTCCCAAAAGACAATTGTAGTTAAAAGTGACCACATTGGTCTATTTTAGGAAAATGGCAGGAATTATTACTGAAAATGTGATCGCATTATATAAATTGGGGCATGTCTTCAGCTTACTGATTCAGCTCATTTCTGTCACTGCCATCACAAAAACATTGCATTGGAAATAAGCCAGAACAAAGAAGAGATTCAGGTCTTTGTTGTATTTCTCCATAAAGTGAAAATGGAATAATTTGCCCTTCATTTGTTATTGGCATCTCAGCTAAGGGACAATGTATCCTTAATGCTCAGAGTTCTATTGTTTTAGAGCAATGACCAGTCCCTGAGAACAACATTTTGGATAAAGGTTTGTCGTGGTTTAATCCCAGCTGGCAACTAAGCACCTGCAGTGGGATGGGGGAGAGAACTGGAAGGGTAAAAGCGAGAAAACTCATGGGCTGAGATAAAGACAGTTTAATAGGTAAAGCAAAAGCTGCACACACAAGCAAAGCAAAATAAGGAATTCATTCACTACTTCCCATCGACAGGCAGGTGTTCAGCCATCTCCAGGTGGCTCCAGCCATCTCCCATCTTCTTCCCCGAGCTTTATACGCTGAGCATGATGTCATATGATATGGAATATCCCTTTGGTCAGTTGGGGTCAGCTGTGCCAGCTGTGTCCCCTCCCAACTTCTTGTGCACCCCCAGCCTACTCGCTGGTGGGGTGGTGTGAGAAGCAGAAAAGGCCTTGACTCTGTGTAAGCACTGCTCAGCAATAATGAAAACATCCCTGTATTATCAACAGTGTTTTCAGCACAAATCCAAAACATAGTCCCATACTAGCTACTATGGAAAAAATTAACTCTATCCCAGTCAAAACCAGCACAAGGTTATAGTGTCCTCACAATATGTAAGTGGAAATGGACTGTGGGTTTATATTCTGCTGCACATTCTACTCATTAGTTTGTGATTAAGCCGGCAGGGCTACAGGAAACCTGCTTCCTTGCAATGTAATTCCAGGCATATTTCAAAAGGGGTTGGTTCCTACCCCTGCTTGCAAGTCAGAAAACTTTGTCCCCAAAACCACAGATACACAAGGCTGCCAAGTCAGGGCTGTTGAAGTCACATCAGCCTGGCCCTGCACCTGAGCTCACTATTAGGGCACCAGACCTGAGCTAAACTGCTGCCTCCACCTGAGGTAGACCTGTCAGCTAGCCCAAGCTTGACGGCACAGGGTAGACTTGCCTTGCAGCAATGAGCAGAAGAGACGGTTGATTTAGCCACTGCTTCTTGGATTGTAGCAAAATCACTGAGGTTTCGTGTTTGTTTATAGGCTTAGAAAACAGTTCATTTTCAGCTAATGAGACGTGAGGCATGCAGCACTCAGTCAACACAGCAAACTTCGAATTACTGTTTTGCTTGTAATACCCTCCTGTACATTTGTTACAGTAAGTCAATTGGTATTTTGTCTCGGCTAGGCATTGGACTTTCAGGTGCTTTAATATACTCAGGCAAGCATGGCTGCAGGCTCCATCAGGGGTACTTATACAAGGTATACGCACACCAGCAGGACTGGAGTGCACAACCATGGGACCAGGGTCGTCTCACTGCATTAGTTCACCAGGGGGTCTCCATCTAACTGGGGCTCTGGACACTCCTACAACAATCTCCAGATAGTAGTGCATTTGATAACACGCATACCTAGTCTGAAGCAAAAGCATAGCTCAAATCCAAACATGATCTGAACTCCTTTAGGGAGAACTATATAAATCTGATCACCTGAAATGATTATCACTTTAGCGTGTGCAGTATAATCAAAGGAAATGAATTAATGGCAGAATACATTTAGGCACATTCCATATAGACATATGCAAAGGGCTTCCATACAATTTTTCATCTCTGTAAAGAAATTAAGAAAATACTAACAAATAATGAAACATTACATTTTATGTAACTAATTACTGCATTCTCTTTATTTGTGCTGCCACTAGATGAACAATCTCCTTAAAAGTTCTTTTCATAGAACAATATGGACTTCTGTTAAAGATCTCCTTCTCCTGAAAAATCATGTTTTTTCCTGCTTCATTTGAGACTGTCAGATGTACAGGTCTGATGGCCGTCCTATTCCCAGCATCAGAAAAAGCCTGTGGGGTCCTGCAGAGCAGCAGGCTGAGCAGCAGTCAACAGTGTACCCTTGCGCTGAGGACGGCTGACTGCATGCCAGGCAGCCTTTGCCAAAGCACAGCTGGCAGTTTGAGGGAGGTCTAGTGCTGGTGAGACCACATCTTGAGTCTGTGTCCAGTGTGGCACACCCCAGCATGAGAGACACGTGGACGCTGACAGAGTTAGTGGGGCTGGAGCCTCGGAGATGTCCAAGTCATTTGGACAAGTGGAGAAGTCAACCACACAAGTGCTACCTGAACAAAATAGCAGAGTTGTTCTGTGCTTCTGGAAATGTTCACAAAGTAAGACAATGCATTCTTTCAAGACATGTTAAGATCACAGTTTTGAATGATTAAGATCTTTCTCATATTCTTACCTCACTAAAAGCCTTAGCCCAAAAGTTTAGAAGCATACCAAGCAAATGAAGAGTAAGAATAGTAAGCAAAGATTGAATATCAAAGGGTATTACAAATCTTTCATTTCCTGCATTTGAAACACATTTATAACTTTGGAAACCACTTTTAACTCCTCTAAGCTTTATGTTTTCAGAGGTGGAAAAAATAAATAGCCCATACCCTACAAAATAACGTCCTTCCCTGACCCTTTCTCTTTAGGAAGCTCTGAGCTTTCACTGTGCCCTTATGCTCAGCAAGTCGCCTCAAGCCCTACGTGAAATTGCAAGGACTGAGCACTTTCCTGAAGTGCTGTGAGGGAAAGTGGAGTTATAAAGAAAGCAAAATCACCAAGCTCCAGGGTGAATGCCACAGGTTGTCTCTCTCCAGATCTGGGCAGTGTCTCAGAACCAGGGATAATGACGAAAAATTGATGTAATACATTCCACTACCTGACATCACTTAAATTGCAAACCAGCTGTAACTACCAAGTATGCTTAAAGTAGGGGACCGTGAAATATTTATTCCAGTAATCCCTGTCTTTCAGGCCACAAAGTTCCATGTGCCTTCAGGACATAGAGACTTTACATCCAAAAGGTAAAATGGAATTTATCAAAATTATTTCAATTCCTATTCTCAATTGGCATAAAACTACACCACATGTAAACTGACTGGTGCAACCGGACAAATGTTTGGGTAGCCTTTCTATGGCTTACTCTTTCTCACGGCTCAGTCCTGCTGCTTCTCAGGCACTTATTATCAGAGCAATTTCCATGAGTGCCTTGCATTGTGCTTTAAGTCAGTTACAAATGTTCCAGCAAGAGCTCTGGTCTAGTTGCTCTCATTAAAAACTTCCACTGGCTTCATAAACATGGTGGTTTTTTGGTGTGATCTGGAGCTTAACATTCATAAGGCTGACTTCTGGGACAGACGAAACGGAACTTGCTCCAGCTACAGTCAGATGCCTCTGAAATTGGAAACAGTGTTCTCCTCCAAGGTCAGCTCCTCATTAGTAAAGGAAAACATTTTTAAGTGCTGGTTTAAGCAATTTGATAGCGGATCCAAAGGCAGACTGCATTTCATGATTACTCAAGGAAACAGAGGAAATGAACCATGTAAATTCTTTGTCAAACAGTTTTCTACACTATTCAAATCTATTTTAAGGTTCAACATCTGCATGAAGGCCTTAACTTAGTTATATTTCTTCAGACCTTCTGTGGAAATATCTTAATTTTGGTACAGATCCAGAAACCAATCCTAGCTTTAACTGGAAATCAAATTTGAAATTCTAATTCCTTGTTTCTTTTTGGACAGAACAGTCTCTGAAAGGACAGCTCTGAGGAGTCCAAAAGAGCTTGGACACAGCTGGCATACAGTCAGTTACAGCCTCCTTCTCCACAGGATTTGATTTTATTTTTGAATTCTGCCTGGCACGAGTCTATTTTTAAAGCTGTTCGCATTTTTCTTTCTTTTTTTTTTTTTTTTTTAAGTGGCTGACCAGGCCCTTAGAGATTTTCCACAAAATACCTGACCCCTCTTGGTCAGATGTTCCAACGAACGGAAGGAAAACAGCTTGCTCAGCTGAAGCACCATAATTAGCATACACTGTGATAACTCTCAGTCCTTCTCTAACCTGCTGGCTACACAGCATGATTTCCTTGGGATTTTTGTTTGTTTTGCTTTGAAGCAGAAGTGTAATATTACTGAGAATCACCAGATGGCATTGCTGCAGATAACTTTGATATTCCTGTTTACCTGACTGTACAGAGGTTAGATATTGAGGAAATACTTATTGCAATCTAGTGCAGAGTTTTTGCTGATGTTACTGCTCCAGCTCCATTACAGAGGTGTTATTTTCAAATTAAACGTATCCAATCTCAATTATATATTTGTATCAACGTGCTAATGCCTGAGCCCTCACAATGTCATAAGATTTGTTTGCAGCAAAGGAATGTGCACGGCTGCACAGGCACAATTTAGAAACACAGACACAAGAAATGTGGGTGAAAGATGTTCTTTAGACTGCTTTAAAATTTCTTTGCTTCTTAATTACTATACCATAATTAAGCTTCAAGCTCATTGAAATGATTTACAGACTTTTAGAAGTGATAAAAGGCTACCTATTTAGTGACTGAATCTGTTGGCTGAAGAGTTTCAGCTACAATGGTTGCATCTGCAAATAACCGGGGATCAAATTATATAATAACTCACACCTCATTAAATTCCTCTGAAGAGACCAAATGACATGGGTGGTAATTTTTAGTGCAGGCTATGGTGTATAACATATGCCAGCACTTCAGAGCTGTTGTAGCTCCCAGCCTGCACAGCCCCGCTCCCAGGGACGGGCTCCGGCTGGCTCAGGGTGCAGTTGCCTCCGCGGGTCTGACCAATGCTGCGTGAGCAAATGCAAGGGTGAATGGACCTTTTCAACTGCTTAGCTTTCAAGGCATGATGAAGTTGTGACGTGGCACTTATTTCCCAAATGTCTCTTATTTCTATATAAAGTGATAAGATCGTATTTTCTGATCTTCATTTCAAAATCCTTCATTTAAAAACAAGGATAAAAATTCATTTTGCATACAAGACTGCCTCATGAACAAAGTACTCACCTCCCAGATACATGCAGAAACTTCACTTTGGTGAGGTTGGGATTTTTTTCCCCACTCACAGTATACCATTTCATCCTGTTGATGAGAACAGGTTTGTGCCTACAGCCCCATTTTCACACTCGGGCTCGGTTTCAGCCAGATGCAGTCACCCCGCAGCATTGCTGTGATAGCACTAAGACCAGCGCAGGCTGCAGAGACCACAAGTTGGGCAGTCACCCGTAGCTGAGCTCTGTGCCACAGCTAGCACATTAGCACTGGATTTATAGTTGGATTGAGCACATCCCCAGGAACCAAACAGCTATGCCAGTAGACATGTATTCCTAATTTCAGAACTAAACCTCCAACACTATGTGGTAAAAGGAAATTAAAACCTGAGGCTGCAACCACTGTAGCATAGGCTAACAGGCAGAGGTAAGTGTAATTTTTGTCCATAGTGCTTGCTTAATATTCTTATCCAGATGCGTTGGAAAGCTGTGGGTCATTGCTCTGGAGGAATAATTTTGAATCCAGTGGACAGACAGCTCTCTTGTCTTTTCCTTCATCATCAAGTAGGCATTTTCCTGGGCTTCCAGCAGTCAAAGAAATTCCCAATATCAGTGTATGATCACAGCTTTGTGCATTAGTGAATGAAAAGCCATGTCCCTGGGGGAATTGCTAATGTTGATGAAAGGAACCTTGCTTGGTTGAACAGGCAGAGGTGTTTTTGGGGCAGGAAGAGACCTTTCTCATTCTGGGATGTTAAATCCGTAGTTTAGATCATAACTGCCCTTATGTCTCCCACAAAAGCATTTGAAACATCACCTCAGTGGTGATAAATCTGAGATACCGTTCGTTCTTCACATCTGCCTAGCTGTTGTGCCATTTCCCATTTTATTGAAGCAGATATTAATAGAAACCATCAACAATACCTTTCATGTTACTTCTCTTCTGTGAGCCAGCCACAGGCAACAGCAAGGTCGTCAATATAGATGCTTTTGGATGGAATTAATTCTCTAGCTCTAATCCCCATTAAACGGATAGTGGTATGTAAGTCAGGTAGTAAAAGAGACAAATTGTCTGAAATGCTACCAGTGCAAGGGATGGGCCCTTGGGAACCCCAGAATTAAAAAATGAGAAAGATAACTCAGTAAAATTCCTACAGCAGAAAATGGATACCTACAGCAGTTTTTAAATGCTTCTATGGATGTCTAAAGAGCGGGCTGCAAATCATTCCTCTCTCTGCATTTTAAGGGGCTGACTACAGAAGCAGACCCACTGGATTACATTTTTCAATAACACATAGCTTTGTTCATATGATTTTTTAATAAAGCCAGCTACCCAGAGAAGAGATCAGGCCTCTGTCTGTGGTTGTACTAGAAAAAAGGAGCATAAACAAGAGACAGTTTACAATAACGATTTTCCTCTTTCGAGTTTTCCAGTGGTTTTAGCTGGTATATAAAGTCAACCTTCTCCATTTATACACCATCATCCCTAAACACAGGCGCCATTTTTCTAAGTGACAGAAACAACCTCTTATATAAAGATGATTAAAAAATAGTTATTCTCTTCTGGATGACAGTTATTTTTATACAGGAAACATGTTAACAAAGCCATTCTCAAAGAACTGAAAAACCACTCTGGGATACCCAAGGTGATCTAATAAAGGCAAATGCACACTGAAAAATCCCCGAATACTCCCATCCTTCAGCTTTTCCCTCAGAACACATTCGACACAAGCTAATACCATACAATGAAGTAACACATACTTTATGTAAATCATGTCTTTGTGGTGTGGTGCAAACCCTGCGTGCATTGAAGAACTACTTTTATAGCAGAAATGTTGTCAAGTGAATACTATTTCTTAAGGGTTAGTGACTTAGATGAGAATTGCTCTGCAGCATTTGTTAAAAACGCTTTGATGTTTGTGCTGTACTGCCAATGTATTTCCAACAGTACTTAAACTTGTTACTTTTTGAAAAATCATGAATTAAGATGAACATTTTTGGTAAAAGGATTGAAAGTGTCCTTTGATGGCATAAACCAATTGCCAAGTGGCTTTAAAAAAGACTGGAGTGAGAGATAAGGAACTTACAAGGTATAAACAACTGCACCTGTGAGATAACACACAAAAAGGCAAAAGTTTAAAGTATGGAAAACAGAAATTAAAGAAACGGGAAAAGAGAGAGTAGGTACAGTGAAATATATATAATAGTTAATATTAGTCATGAATATGAATAGTACATGAATAGTAAATGAAGCTTGTGTAAAGCAGTGGAATGGATGGAGAGAAGTCAAAAGAAAGAGGGCCTCTCTCAGCCTCCCACAGGGAAGAGCACACACACGTAATGGTTCCTGCCTCTCGCTTTCCTGAATGAGAGAGGCAGATTTGGATTTTGGTTTCTGACTTGCTTTGTCTTCCCCTTAAGCACTAATTTTGGTGACAGAATCTGGAGTTCATCATGGTTATTTCCAAAAGAAAAACAACCTCAAACATTAAAAGGAGCATTTGTAAGTCTCACATTTAGATCGAAATCTCTCTCTCTTGAAAGGCTTGAATAGTTTGAACTGCAGAAGGAATAACAGCAGGATGTGAATATGCATGTTTTGACCTGCAGACCTCTTCTTCCCTTCTTCATTCCCACCTCTGAGATATGGCCTAGAGAGCTGTAACAGTCTCTCCAAGCCATTAAACAACACATCCAATAACTTGCAACTTTTAGAAAAGACAAAGATCACCTCGTCTTTCTAGAAAAACTCAGCAGAGGGACCCTCCTCTGCTGGTAAGAGCCAGCAAAGCTGCTAACCCAGAGCTGCCTTGTTCAGCCTTGCCAAATTGCGATTGCTCTTTTGGGAAGGCAAGCGAGAGGAGACACGACCTTGGACTTCCCTTCTATGTACTTTCAGCCCAGAATAAATTAGCTTGGACGTAGGAGGCACCACAACTGCATCAGCCTTCATCTGTCCATAGTTTTAGGCTGATTAGTCTGTCCAGCTCCCTGGTGAAACACAGACCCTCTTATGGGCTTGGTGTCTGACAGAGAAGAGCTCATTGTTTATCTGATGGACCTGCACAGAAAGGCACCTTCCCTTTCTGCCACCCCTCTGGATTTCCCTTTTTGTTACTCACCGGTACTGCTCTGGATGGTCCTCACCGTGGTGGTTGTACGTGGGGGAGATGAGGACCGCAGCGATATGCACTCGTCATCCTGGGAACAGCCCTTCTCAATGGCTCTGACGTAGCTGTGGCTCCTCATGCGGAAGCAGCCCGGCATGGGCAGGTCCAGTGCCTCCACTGCCTGAGACTCAAGTTCACTGAACACCGACTCGCAGACGGATTCAAACTGACCGTTCACCTCCATCTCGCTCACCTGCAGGCAAAGACCAGGTGCTTTCAGTACATCCCATACACCAGCCTACCCAGTACAAACATGCACAAGCTACACTGGCACAATGGCCAACATCTCTTAGAAGATCCCTTCACACATGAAGAACAGGTGAATGACATATAAACATGTACCATTTTAGAAAGCAACAATTGTTAAGAGAAAAAAATAATGTACAAAAAGGGGAGACAGAGGCTTTAGGCAGAGATTCAGCAGAGTTTAGGCTCTTGGTTCCTACTGGTGGGAAGCTGGGAGTCCTCATAGCAGCATCTGGTTTATCTCACCCTGGGGCCATGTCAGAGGCTGAACCTCTGGCCATTATGACCATTACATTGAAAAACAAAAATCACTCTTTCTTTGGGGGTTGAGGAAAAAAAAAGGTCAGCTTAACCCTAGTACACAACCAATGCAACCCACAGGCAATCAGAGTGATAAACCTGAGGGGCTGAGAAGCTCGAAGGTAGAAGTGGTAACAAACAGTTGGGAAGAGGAGGCTGATAAGGGAACCAGCTTTGTTGCAGAGGAAAAATGTTTGTATAACTACATCTGTGGGCTGACTCCTTTGGTTGAGAGCGAGAGATGCAAGGGAATCCTTAGACCCTTTTTGGAGCAGACACTAGGTGGTGACAAAGACTTGCACTCATGCAGGTTAAAGAACATTCAAAAGCATGTGGCCTCACTGCAGGTCTTACAAACCTGGAAACCATTTACCTGGGCTTAATTATTAATGGATGTTCATGTTTCTAAACTGAGAATAGAGCCCTGAGCTTGGCATTAAAGCACAATAATTACCACTGTAGGAAACATGTACATGGAAACCATCACTTGAAGATTTTATTAGTTTTCAAGCATGCAAAAGGCCAAGATTTCAAGAGAAGATAAGATTGTGTTAGGCTGGTGGAAAACAACATTAGAAATTCTTTTCCAGGATGAATTTTACCAAGGAAAATATTATGCTGAGTATTTGTATAAATAAATGAAAAGGGAAATCTCAAAGAGTAGAACATATTTTTTCAAAGGGAAACTGCTTAAAAGAGCATGGAAGTGTAGTGGATAGTACATCATAAAGAACAATCCTACAATGGTGGAAAATAGCCATAAACCCCAATAAATATCTCTGATTTTTTTTTTTTTTAAAAACAAACAAGTTCTTCATATTGGCAAATAATACTCACTCTTTGGTGGATAGCTTTGTATAAGTACTAGGTGCCCAGCTAAATAAGTAACCTAACCCAGTGTTCCTATAGTTGCCTCTGAGACCTGAATTTCAGTGCTGTTTCCTCCTAGATACATCCTGATCCTCTTTCTAGAGCATCAGCCCATACCCTGTGCAAAGTGCCTCACTATAAAATACACAGGTGAATACTCGGAGGTTGCAATGCCCAAATACAGAACACCGCAGAAATTCAAACTACAGCTCCATTCTGAATGGCACATATATTTGTTACAGCCACAGCTGAACTCCTGGCATCAATGATGTCACGTGGTTTTTTTGACATTGCAGTGACTTGACATGCCGATAATAAGGGGCCAGTAATAAGTAATAATGCCAATAATAAGGCACCACAAATCCCTCCCTGCTGCACTTCTGGACTAGTGTAAGAAAATTCTTTTATCCAAGTGATTTATCCAAATGATCCACTTAAACAAACAAGCCAAAAATCATACCAAGGAGCTACAGGATTTAGCAGATGAACTACTGGCCTGCTGCCCTGTGGAGTGCTGGCACTTTTGCATTTCTTTCAGGCTCTCCCCTGACCAATTCAACTGTACAAGCATGTTATATGCAAGGACAAGCTATTTTATGATGTTAAAACTCATAAACTGAATGTGTCACAGCGGCCTTTATTTTTTTTGTAGTTTAGAATGAGCATGAAGAGATCTTACAGAATTTCAGGGCAATAATACCTTTGCACTTAATATATTATACTGCAACATTTGTAAGTATAAGTGACAAGTTTAGAGGTGCATGGGGTTAAAAATGTATACAATAGCATAAAGAAAGCTTTAAAAATTTTGATAAAATACTAATAAAATTGTGAAATACAAAATACTATGGACTTAATTTTCCTTTAGCATCTCACTCAGCATGTGAACGTGGGTTTTTTTTTTTTTTTGGAGGCATTCCAAAAAATTTGATTTCAGGTACTAAGCACAAGATCCTTAAGAGAACCCTGTTTAAAGACACTGTTGATGAGCAGCTGCTTTTGGAAAAGAAAAATAAAAAATTAGACTGCTCCTTCAAACAAATTGCATGTTGTGCCACTCATCCATCTGCAAAGGGCAGGTTATAGCATTATCAGATGTTACCCTCTCAAAAACAAGACTGTGTGAAAACATTTCTATTTTCTCTAAAAATGTTTTTAAAATGTGTGGCACGCAACAGCCTGATTTTACTTAAAACAAAATCAAGTTTCTTCTATTGCAAGGGCTCAGCCGGTGTCCAGCATGGCGGCTGCTCTCCAGGCCACTGCGGGTGTGTGTCACCCACCTGACTGATGGTGCTCATGGCTCTCATGTAGCTCTCGTTGCGGGAGCGGAACTTGGGGGACGTCAGCAGCCCTGCGGGGTCCAGGCTGTCCAGGCTCCTGTTGATGGAGACTTCGCTCACTGCCCTCAGGTAACTGTGGCTCCGGATCTGAAGCTTTGGCGAGTGTTCACTGGATATCCTGGGAGGTTTGGGAAAAAAGAAGAAAAGAAAATAGATATTTTGTCAAATGTAGATGCCCTCACCAGGACTGGGGTAAAGAAAGGAGAGGCCCAATAGTAAGATTGGCTGCATGATCCTAAACACATCAGCTGAACACGCACTTCTTGAAATGCAGTTTGTAGGAACTCTAAAGCGTCCCTCTGAAGCATTGTTACTCTGCAAAAACCTGGTGCTGATGAGACCTGCTGGTGCTGTGACTTTGACACCCACGTATGTACCCATGTAAAGGGGCTGCTTCTCATGGAGCTTTCAAGGCTGTATAGACAAATGGGGTAGGTAGATCATACACAACATGCAAATACACTCATAGTACATCTTAACCTGGGAAATCATTCCAAGAACTTGGAGCACCTGGTAAGGTTTGATGTGCTTTAAATTTTATTTTATTCCTGGCTTAAGCTGAAAGTTGAGAAAATATAGGCTAAGGAAGTAGCTTTACATGATCTGATGTCAAATTAGAAGTTTAAAAACCACAATTGTATTTCTGAAGTGATAACGTTGCCCAGCTTTCCAATACCTGTGACAGATGAGATGCATAAGTAGTCAGAAACAAACAAAAAAATCCCCATAGGTAATGTGCACAAACTGCAGTACTCCTGCCATATGTGCTTAGAGTCAGCTAGCAAAGGTAATAACATGTAGCTACAATTTTCCACCTGCAAGACGTTTTATCCTCTGAAAATGCCAGCTAAGTGCTGTCTTCACAATCTGAGGCATCCTATAAAGTTGTGAGTCACAAAAAGTGATCCATGTCATGCCTCTTATGCAATACAGTTCATTTTGGGGATATTTCTTTTTAAACAATTAATCAATGGATAAAGTATTGAAAGGGTGATTCTTCAATATTTTTATTGAAACATCTTTAATATTCTCCAAGTATTATGAAGAGAACAAATTAAAATATTAATTAAGTTTTCCATTTTTAAATTTAAATCTCGCATGGATGTTTGCAGGTATATGAAAGAAAAATCTGTAACCTAATTACAGGCTTAGTCTTGGTCCCCTAGTCTTTAGAAATACATACACAACTGACCTGAAAGAAGAGAATCCATTTTATGTCTAATTCCTCAAGCATTTGCAGTTATTTTGTATTCAAGTAGCTAACGATGGTAATTAGTATGAGCAATTTCCCAGTGGCATGCACAATTCTGGTAATTGTCAACGTATTTTAGGAGGACAATTCCATTGTGTAATCGCACACCTAAGTAGTTCAGAAACTGGGTCTGTTTCTGAATGGTACAATACTGTAATAAAATCTAGGTCATCTCTACAACACTGTATTCTCTGGCTGCTAATTACCTGCCTAATAAAAATACGTAAACTTATGCTAATTACTCAATATTCCTGACACAAGATGAAGATAAAGCCTCTGCTTGCCATTTGCACTGTGTGTATGGTGCAATACTCATGGCAGCTATATTCATATGCTTTGACTCCTTACACCATTTGATTCCACATGGCAAAAGCAGAAAGCTTTTTAAGACATCATACTTAGTGGTGTTCCAAACTCAAAAAAAGGAAGAGAAAATGATGAAAAAGTGACTGTTACTAGCAGTTAGCTACAACATTTTGATAACTAACACTAACCATGGTACTCTTGGAAAAAAAAAATTCTTGTCTGTTATTTGATAAAAAAATAAAGAAATAAAAAATTAAAAAAGATAAAATAGAATGAATAATTCAACAGACAATTTTTCAGATGCATGTGAGCTACTTCACCACCCTGCAGATCTGTAAACTGATGAGCACTGCCCGAAATGCATTTCTTAAATTAATTCAAAATGTATTTTATGAATATGTTGTGAACAGTTTGCTGCCAATATGTGACATGCAAAATTCAAATATGCTTGATTAGCTGCCAGTTAGTCAAATACGTCACTTGGGGCTGTCGCTCGTCACTGATTAGCTGAGCTCACAAGAAGACTGCAGCACATCACCAAATTCAGTGCACAGATATTGCCAGACAGACATTAGCAAGTGCTGAGGCAGGTGCCCTTTAAAGGTCGGAACCAATATGACAAGATGCAGGTACCCATAGCAGCAAGATTTTGCTGTGGCAGCCAGAGTACAGATCAGATCAGATGCTCCAAGTGTCATGGAAAGCCACCACAAAAGGTATAGAAATTCATTTTATGTATGCATTAGTGTTGCATAACAATGTTTTCCCAATTCTGCTTGAAACAAGGGCATCCATCCATGACAGTAAATGTTTCTCTGTTGTTTCAGATGTGGGTGGTCAGCACAGCTGCCTTCCTTTTCTGGCTAGTTTTGTTCCTGACTATATGACTGGCCAGTTTGGCACATACCTGGAGCTGTATTTTACTGGTGGCCACTGATCTTAGCCTGTGCATACCTCCCATCTGTTGTGTAAAACAGACTAGGATATTGGCAGCTGTTGGAGGAGGTGGTTCCTTGCTGACTGATTGCTACAATCACTGTTTCACTAGATATAGTGATGGGGGGGAAAAAAAAAGAAAGAAGATTTAAAGCATAGACAAAAAAACATCTGAAGGCTTGCATTTATAATGATTACTACTGCTTTTATAGCTGTGTAATAAATTGTCACTATATTCTACAGCACACTTTAATGAACAGCTGAAATGCCACTGAAAATTTTGAAAACATTCCATTTAGGAATAAATCTGGCTGTGTATGACAGGGGAAGATCTTAATGTCTAATTTGTTTTCTCAGAGTTACTATTACCAGTAACCTGTATATGAAAATACTCTTTTCTTCCTCAAGGGTTCAACTCCATCTTCTATTTATTCTGCATTACCTAAACTTCTGTTCGTGCCATCATGACTTCCACAACTAAGCATGACAGACAAGGGATGGAGACTTTGGGACAGCTCTTTGGCCAATACAAAACAGTCTGTTAGCTCCACTCACTGCATTGGATATATTAATTGGCAGGAGGAGGATGTGAATTATTAAAGATCTTGAACAAGCTCCTCAAGCATGCTGCATCATTTCTGTGCTGCAGTGCCCGCTGGTGTGACATGGGACAAGCGCTGCAAGGTAGTCCTGAACTCAGTACCAGATCCCTTTCAGAGGGGCTTATACACAGCTCATTCTTACTGCTATGGTAAAAGGGAGATTTTGCCTGGGAGGCTTCTAGTCCCTTTTGGATACATAATGTGATGATGTTGGTTGAAGCAGCATTCAAGGAGCTTGCAGCGGTCATGCAGAGCCAGGCGTGCTTTGGGGCTGGGCTGTCCCCTAAGGAAACACGCTGCATTCACAGGTGGCAGGTCTCCAAACCGGCTGCACCATCCTTCTTCCCCATACTGCTGCCCTTGCCCCAGGCCTCATACTGAAGGATGGGAGCACAGCCACAAGGGCAACATGCCGATAGTGCACTGGGCGGGAGGAGTAGCACTGCTAGATGTACTTCCCAAGAACCAGAGCAAGAGGCAACAGGAGAAGATGAGGGCTTTGGGTTTCTGCCACTCTGCTGGCTGCCATTGCAGGTGTCCCAAGGGGACTGACCAGAAAAGGAGCCAGTCCTGTGCTGAGGTGTGTGGAAATGGAGTCTGCCAAGTCCTGGTGGAGAAATAAAGGCTCCCCTGCATAAAGTAAGTCAAATGCCTCTGATCCACACCGTGCCTCAGGGACGATTGAGGCACCACGCCTGTGAGGGCAAAATGCTACTGAAAGCCTGTGAGGGGCTCTGAGAAGCAGGAGAGTGTTCATTTAAGCAAAAAACGCATTTTAGCGAAGCATCTAAAACAGAAGATCATGTAGGTGTGTAAAGGAAATCTTTAAGCTACCTTTGCATACTGCCCTTTGGTTTCTGCTCTGTACCTTTCAGACATACTGAGAGTGATTCTCTTGTTTTCATTCAAATATAGAAGTGAAAAGATTTAAAATGCACACACCTAATCACCCCATCACTATTGCAACATGCATGTTAATAAATACTTTTAACCAACTGTTACAGATGTGTTTGTATTTACACAGTCTTAATTCAGTCAGAAACACATTTTGGTCCCTAGTTTGCTTAACTGACTATTTGCAGAGTAAGGAGTTGGTTAGCATAGGTAAGCATGGGAGGTGCTAGGCTTAGCTGTTTTGCTCTGGTTTGTACAGGGAAGTCTGAAACAGAGGCAGGAAATAGTCTTAGCCTAGTGCCTGGCTCAGATGATGGTCCAGGATGAATGAAGGGGGAAGGAAAGCTATACACTGTCTTTACATACTGCCTTGTCATTTCTGACTTGTATATGCTGGCCATAATTTAGTTCACTCAAACACATAGTAAAGCATTTAAAATGCAGTGTTAGCAGATTAAAAGTGAAATAGCTTTGCATATATTCCTGGAAGAGTTCTTTTGCCTTCCAAATGGCTTTCAAATGCCAAAGAGAAGTTAGACAACAGGGATTTACAAGAACAGGCAAGTTTAGTTTCAAATATTTCCTTTTAATTTAGGAAAGCACAATGCACTCTCTTGTATACGTGCTCTTTATGAAAAATACTTTCATTTATTACATTTGATTTCTGAATGAAAAAAGGGAGAGACAAGACTGATGATGGCTGCTTTCCTTCCCCTTTAGGTTAGACACCCTATAAAAAAGTGTTACAGTGAAAAATAGTCCTAAGACTGTATTGTCTTCTGCAAGTTCAGCATTCAGATTCATAGCACAAAGCAGAGTGTTGTGCCAGATGGGTACTGTGCTATGCCAACAGAAAATGACAAAGCAGAATAAAGTGAAAGTCCAGAAACATGTCCTGAATACTTCTGTAAGCCAGCAGAGGATTGTGCTAAAATTTGCCTTCAAACAAACAGAAATCCCCAATAACACACCACACACAACCCAAACCCAAGAAAAAATAAACCTCAAAACCACTATTGCTAAATATCCCAGCTCTCATTTTTGTAGCCCACAATGGACAGCTTAGCTCCCTAGTGCTTAATTATCCTAGGCTGAATCCCCCAGCTCTGACGTGGCTGGTGGGCACAT